GAGAGAGAGAGAGAGAGAGAGAGAGAGAGAGAGAGAGAGAGAGAGAGAGAGAGACTAAGGACGAAGTGCACCGCGTGGCAGCTGGCAAGTGGCAGCCATGTGGCAAGTGTGACGAGCGCAACACGTGGTAGCTATGAATCCCCCGCGGCCGCGGTCACCGTGTTCATGACCGCGGACTGCGGTTACGACCGTGGGCCTGCGGTCATGACCGGGGTCCGCGGTCAGGAGAAAAAAAAAAAAAAAAAAAAAAAAATCAAAAAACTTTGAACAAAATATATGTTATGTCAAAAAATAAACTGAACAACGTTTGCCTTGGGGTCATATCAAAACTCGTTACCAAATTTGAGATAAAAAACAAACAAAAACGTTTATTTTTCTTACTAAAAGAATAAAGTGAAGAACTTTTGCCCGAGGGATTTCTGTTTTTCATTTCTTTTAAACCCAAAACGAAGTCAAAAAATAAAACTAAAACTATAGGGTTGTAGAGCGCAAGAAAACCTACAACCCCATATTGTTTTTTTTGTTTTTGGCCTATTATCCTAGGAATTAAAAATGTCGGGGTTTTCCGACCGCGACTCTCGCCCGCAGCCGACCTCGGCGGTCGGGATCCCGACCGCGGGCCGAGATTGACCCCGTGGTCATGACCGCGGGGGATTGATTGCGTGGTAGCTGCACGGACGACATCAACAGGAATAGGCCGATTAAGGACCGAATGGACCACATGGTAGGTGCACGGACAACAGAGAACAGACTGTGCACATGCAAGTACATGGGAATGTCACGTGTCTCCCTGTATCTCTCTCTCTATCTATCTATCTTTCTCTCACTCTCTCTAGATATCCAGTGCACGTGCAAGTACGTGGCAATGTCACGTGTCTCCCTCTCACTCTCTCATGGCAATGAGTAGTGTCTCCGAATAGGCCGCACGCTTGTATAATAATTGAGAGAGGGACAACGGGAGAGAAAGAGATTAGCATGTAGAGGAGAGAGACGAAGGGAGAGGCCCGAGAGGGGGAGAGATTGAGACAGAGAGAGAGCGAGACAGAGAGTCAGAATGTGTATAATGATAATAATAATAGTTGCGGCCAATTACTGGTTTGTATTGATTGAATCTCGACTTTGGTTTTCTATCTGTTTAACTCTCTCTCTCTCTCTCTCTATCTATCTATCTAACTCTCTCTCTCTCTCTCTCTCTCTCTCTCTCTCTCTCTCTCTCTCTCTCTCTCTCTCTCTCTCTCTCTCT